CACTGACAGGGGCACTGAGGTTCAGACTGCTAAGAAAGAAGGTGTTTGGACACTAAGCCAGTGAGAGGCGGAGCCTAATCTTCACTTCCATTTAGGACCTTTCTGCTTGGAAGGCCTCTGTCCTTTCCTCTTCTCAAGTGGCTGGTGGTGGTGAGGGAAAGGAGTCAGGGACCAGAGTTCACGAGCTGCACCTTCCACACTTACAGGGGTCACAGCTGCTGTGACCAGGTACCAAAAGGAGGGCTGTGTGTGCAGGGGCTGCACCATGGGCAAGTGGCACCCAAGCTCAGGGCTGAGAAAGCGCATGCAGCCAGGAGACCCCGAAACCCCACCTAGATTTGCCCTTACCCGCAGGTATCCCTGAGGACACCTTTATTCCACCAGTCTTGTTTTATCAGCCTGTGAACTGAGCTCAATAACAGCCTCCCACCCTTCTGGACTCTTGTAAGAATCAAACTCTCTGGGCACAGAGAGTAATTTTAATGGTACAGGATGGCGTTCAAACAGAAGCTTGCCTTACTAACTCAGGGTTTCTCTGGCCCCTCACTGGGATTTACCGGAGGAGGAGGCCAGCTGAGTAGATTGTACCAGGGTGTGTTTGCAGCTCTGGGCTATGGCAGGACTGGGCTAACTCGACCCTAATTCCTGTTTTCAGTGGCTCACTCTGCCTGGGGACAGAGACAAACACTACCATGCCAACAAATCTGATTCTGTACCCACCCTGATGCTGCATTTCTTGGGGAGAAGACTAAGTTCAGGGGTACCATGGAAACCCTGTGTTTCCTGCAAATGCTGGCGTTTGAACAGCCTGAGGTGCTCACTCTTTGGCCACAGGGACCTCTCCAGGCCACCTGCCCAGCCCTGCTTGGGGCCCAGCTGCCCCCTCCTTGGCCTGGTGTTCACTTCTTTGCCACCGCTGGCTTGGTCACTGGCTTCTTGGGACGTCTGCAGCCACAGGGGGCCGGCACTGACCTTGCGTGCTCTCTGCTGTGGCCCCAAGGCGGACACACAGCTAATGCTCTGGCAGACCCGTGCACTAGGAAGCGAGCACACGAGCAGCCTCTTCAGATGCCTGAAGGGCTGTGCTGGACACGAGAGTCATCCTCTTTGGGACCACAGACAGCCGAAGCAGGACAAGTCACTGTGATTCACATTTTTATACCTGGTAGGAGTGAGTTGAGGAGGGGGGGTGCCAGGGATGGAACCCAGTCTTCCAGCTTCTTGAACCTGGGGCTTTTATGCCGGTGACGAAGGGCTGTTGAGAGGTAGGTGGACACACGCTCATCAAACTGAGGATGCTTTTGTCCGAGTGAACCCTCTGAATGGATGCTCTGAACTGTCTGCTCTGGCTGCCCTCCAGGGGCTATTCCAGGGGTCCTGCTACCCAGTGGAAGGCTCCAGCATGTGCATCTGCTTACATGAAAACAGCTGGCAACACCTGCTGACTCCATGCAGAAATCTCATCCTTCGCCCCGTAAGAGTCCTTGTATTTAACCCTCACCACTACTTAATAATTAGGCAGGTAATAGTATGCCCATTTCACAGGTGGAGAAAGCAAGGCTTTCTTCAGTAACACGCAGGTCAGCAGTGCACAAGGACTGCAGGGTAGAAGGACCAAGGCCTCCCCCATTGAAATCACTGGCTGTCTCTCAGTGGAGGCTCTGCGCTACGCTGGCCTTTCCTGTGCCCCAGCCCATTTTAGCCGCCCTGCTAAATGCTACAGCTCTGAACCCCAACCCTGGCCATGCACTGGAGCCCCCCAGCCAGGCCCCACCCTGGCCACTAGAACTACTGGGAGGGTCTGCGGCTGGTTCTAGGGTGCAGCCAGGCTTGAGTGTCCATTTCTGGGTTTCTCCCTGGTGCTGTGAGTCTGGGGAAGGCACGGGAGCATGAGACCTGTCTCCAGCACAGTGGTGCAGAGCTGCCACATAAGGTGCATGAAGACCCCGGGAAGTGGCTGCCAGATGGACTGTGGCAGGACAGGTGACATGCTCGGGAAAGGAGGTGGACTGGGGGGGGAGTGGGCGGTGATGTGGCAGTGTGGAAAACTGCCTGGTGTTCCAGGGAGCTGCCCCCGCCTGTGGCCTTGTCACTTGAGCCATAAGCTCCCAGGGCAGGGACTCGGAAGAGTGTTAGACAGCGTTCCTTGCAGAGGAATGGAAGCCTGTCCCTTATAAATCACCGGGCAATGCACAGCCTCGCTTTGTCCTCACCATAGCCTCTAGGTAGACGTGAGGACCCTCCACTTCTCAGATGAAGAATGTGAGGCCCAGCCACGCCTGGTGGCACACGACTGTAATCCCAGTACTCCGGGCGGCTGAAGCAGGAGGATTCCACCTTCAAGCCCAGCCTGGGTAATTTAGCAAGATTGTCTCAAGATAAATAAATAAATAAATAAATAGGGCTGCGGGCCAGGGATTTAGTTCAGTGGTTCTGCTGCCTGCCCTGTAAGCTCAAGGATCCGAGTTTGATCCCTGGTACCACGAAAAAAAACAAAAACAAAAACAAAAAACAAAACAAAACAAAACAAAAACCCCAAAACCTGGGCTCCGGGTATAGCTCGGTGTGAAAGCCCTAAATTCAATCCCCAGTACCACAGTACCAGAGATCCAGAGAGACAGAGGGAAAGGAGGGAGAGGGAGAGGGAGAGGGAGAAAGGAAAAAAAACGGGGAACAAGGGAAGGGAGGGGAAGGGCGGGAAGAGGGATGGAGGGAGGGAGGGACTGAGGCCCTGGGTGCAAGCCGACTTCCTGAGACACAGCGCTCCTTAGAGGCGGGGCTCTTGAACCTACTCGGCCAATCCAGGCTCCATCTCAGCTGCATTTCAGCAGCCCCAGCACGGAGCCATTGAATCAACTGTCCTTCAGCTAGGTCCGTCCTTCCCGGAACCGCCCTGCTGTCGCTTGCTCCTGGGTCCCATCGTTCCCAGCACAGTGGGCGGGCTGAGGAGAGGGAGGGTCCCCACTTCCCCAGGGAAGTGTTTGGGGTTCACATCCGCTTCTCACCCAAGCTGCACAAGGCACGTTTGTCATTGGCCATAAAATCGTGCTGCTCTTTGAAAAGAAAGGAAGGAAATGTGTCCCTATTACTTATCTCAGGTGCCCATTCTCCTGCCCCCTACTGCGCTGACTCTGCGCAACACAAAGAAAGATTTCTTCTTACTGTTCTGAATTTACTGTCCAGTAATTTTTCTGTTCTCATTTTATGCGACGGGAAGCTGAGCGATTTTCTCCCAGCCCTTTTTATAAATCTAAACCAACCCATAAATCACTGCTGATGTCTTCTCTCCAGCCCTAAAGGAAAGCAGTTGCCCCAGCCCTTCGGCCTCTGCTGGGTGCCCAGCTTTCTCTCACGGGCCTCACCCTTACCGGGGGTCACTTTGGGCGAGGGTAGCAAGCTGGGGCAGGTGTGGAGCAGGTGGCTGAAAAGAATGCTGTGCAGCTGTGGGTAGGAAAGGCTCACAGCCTCGAGGGAGGGAGGGCTGGGTCTCCAGGGGTGCAGTTGCGGAGTCCTTTGTGGGTGGTGGGTCCTGATTTGAGTCAGGAGAAGAGACAGGAGAAGAGGGACAGGGTGGTGGGGCCTGGGCTGGTAAGGTGAAGCCCTCCCACGGCTGGATGAGGGCTTTGGATCTGGCCGCAGGTGTCTGGGTCAGCTGTGGTTTCTGAGCAGCTGTCTCCTGTGGGATGGAGACCCGATGGGCCAGGTCAGGGAGAGAGTCACTGTGCCTGGGCACAGTGTCTGGGCACAGCCTGTTTCTGCAGCTGCTGTCAGGGGATCTGAGGGTATTGTGTTTAAAGCGGTAAATACTGGCCCAGCATGCACACCAGAGCATTGTTAGTTTTCACCCTGCTTAGCCGGGCATGGTGGCACGCCTGTAATCCTAGCACTCAGGAGGCTGAGGCAGGAGGATCGCTGTGAGTTTGAGACCAGCCTGGGCTACATAGTGAACTCTGGGTCAGTCTCAACTACATAGCGAGAACCTGTCTCAAAAAAACAAACAAAACAAAACAAAACAAAACAGTTTGTACCCTGCTTAACAGAAGAAGAGACAGAGAGGGTCAGTAACTCACCCCAAGTCACACAGCTAGTGAGGCTGTGACAGCTCTCGTGCCTCCTTCCTCACCCCTTCTGCGGCAGACACCTGAGGGCCATCCTACCCTGGGGGACAAAGTGTAGCCAAAGCTGGGATCTCATCCTCAGGGTGAGGCGCGAGATGCCCACTGTGTCCTCCTATCCCAGAGGAGCCTCTGCACAGTGACCAGCAGTGCTGTCCAGACCCAAATACGCACTTTCTCACACTGGAGTGACCTTTCCGATAAAAGCAGCAGGTTTCACTTAGCCAGCATTTCCTGTCCCTCCTCCCCTGCCCTGTGTACCCAAGAGCCAGTGCCAACCACGTGTGTGTGAACTACTGCACGGTGTGACACAGATGTCAACACGGCAGTAGTCAGGGCCAGGGCGGCCAGGGTAAATCTGGAACGGGAGAGCGAGCAGAAGGCCTGCTGAGCTGGAAGCCTGACCCCATGGCAGGGCTGGGGAGGGAACCGGAAGAGGAGCAGCATCGCAAAGCCACGGAGGCGGACAGTCTGGGAATGCTTAGCGTGTGTGGAGAGCGAGGACTGGCAAGGCAGGGACTCCGGCCCAGATGGGGCGGGCTGGGCAGTGAGGCGCAGGAGCTGGGAGGGCAGGGCTAGTCCGGTTCTCATGGTCCTGCTGTGTCCTGTGTAGCCATCCCCGGTGGGAGGGGTCATTCACAGCGGGGCTCCTGTGCCCCAGGACAGAAGTCCTTCACCCTTCCTCCCTAGGGCCGCCCAGCCCGTCCCGGCTCCGTGAATCCTCCAGGTGCCGCGTCCACCGAGGGACGCTCTGGGCTTTGGTGGGAGCTGTCTAGTTGTGGGTGAGGCATGCAGAGTGGGTCTGTGTCCTTGTCACAGGCTCTGGGGTGGTGAGGGTGCGTCCTTTCACCTGGGCCTGACTGACCAGCTTATCTCTTGGGACAGAGGCACAGAGTTTCGGCCTGCTGGACCCCAAACTCTGCTACCTGCTGGATGGACTCCTCTTCATCTATGGAGTTATCATCACCGCTCTGTTCCTGAGAGCAAAGGTGGGTGCCCTGGGCCCTGCCGGCAGGACGTCGGCTTCTCTGCCGGGTGGATGTTTGGCCAGCTCTTGGCTCTGCGGCCTCAGGCTTGGTGCGTGGGGCTTGGTGTCTCTGGCAAGGCTGACAGCCATGCATACACCCCAGGGGGGCTGAGGAAGTGGGGCTGGGAGAGCCAGGCTGGGTGCCTTTGTGAGGAGCTGAGCCTGTGTGTCCACACCAGTGTCCCATGGCTGCTGCTGGCCAGCGAGAGGCTCCTGCTCAGGCAATTAAGGGTAGGGAGGTGGAGACCCCATAGCCTCTCCCCCATCCTGCTGTCTGGCCTTTCTCCTGACACCTCAGTTTCCGCGCTGTCAGGGGAGGGCTGGCCAGCTGTCTGTGGGCCAGGAGTGGGCAGAAGATAGAAGAAATGCCATCCCTGCAGTGCACACTAGGACCGTTTTCTCTTTTGGACTGTGGTCTCTGCCATACAATTTGACTTGAAAAATAGTCTCGTTTTCTTTTTTTTAAACTAGGAGATGCAGCAGTGACTTATCTCTAAGGTTGTTGCTGATGATCTTAGTTCCTCCTGGTTGAGGCAGCCAGCACTGGGACAGAGTGAGGCTCTAGCACCAGGCACCCAGCTCCACTGCTGGGACCCTGAAGCAGTCCCTGTGCTCCTGAGTATCTCTAGAGCCCCTGGGCATGGGCCCTGGACACCACCTCTAGTGCATCTCGGAACAGGCCAAGGCCACTTGCCAGGGAAGAATAAACTTCTTTCCCTCCTGGGGGTAAGGTGACAGGAAGGAGCAGAAAGGCCAGTCAAATTCAGAAAAGGGGTGCCTGCCTGTAATCTCAGGACTCTGGGAGGCTGAGGCAGGAGAATTGCAAGTTTGATCCCAGCTTGGGCAACTTAGTGATTTAGCGAGACCCTGTTGCAAAATAAAAAAATTAAAAAAGGACTAGAGATGTAGCTCATTGCCAAAGCTATGGGTTCAACTCCCAGTACTGGAAAAAAAAAGGGGTGGGGGGCGGAGGAAGCAGCTATCAGGCTTTCTAGCCCTTCACAGCCAGGCAGAGGTGGAATACAGGCGCGCTGAGCATCCTGGGTCTCTGCAGCCCTTCATGGAATAGTCACGCACACTTTCGTATGTTGCAGTTTGGCAGGGGTGCGGAGGTGCCAGTCCATCAGCAGGGCCAGAACCAGCTCTACAATGTAAGTCTGCAGCCCCAGCACCCACCCTGTGCCAGTTCCAGCCATGGCCAACTCTGGGCGGTCAGCTGTCCAACTGGTTCGCTAGCTGGGATACTACGGTGCCCACAGGGAGGAGCACATACTGCCATGGCTGGGTGCATGGGGGGCAAGGAGCTTTAGTCTTCACTGCAGGGAGGGATGTAGTTACACTCCCGGGCCCTTTGTTACCCTCTGAGCCTTGGATTCCTTATTGTTCAGCCATTAGATTGCTCAGCATATAGTAAGAAACCTGCTGGGCACCTCTGGGGACCCCATCTGCTCTCTGGGAGGGTCATGAGCCCAGGGATGGTGACACCCCATGGACCAGGTCCCATCACCTCCCTGCCCCCATTCCCAGAGCCACCCCTGGGAGGAAACCTTGAATGCCCTGCGGGCCCCATGCTCCTGAGGTGCCTCTTCCGTGTCTGATTCCTTCCACTTGTTGTAGGAGCTCAATCTAGGACGCAGGGAGGAATATGACATTTTGGATAAGCGGCGGGCCCGGGACCCCGAGATGGGCGGGAAGCAGGTAAGGAACGGGGCGGTCCCTGGGTTAGAGGACTTGTCGCGGCCTCCCTCTCTGCCCTCCTCGTTGGCTCCGTCCTGCACACGAAGGGTCTGCCCACGAGTATGTCACCCTGGCCTCATGTCAGTCCTCATCTACCTCCCCAAGACGGCTTCTTGGCTGCCCTGAGACGTGAGGGTGACACCATGTGTCCCAGGACGACAGACTTGATGAAGGGGGTGATAAGGCACAGAATCTGGGCAGGAACTCTGGGGCCGGGCATCACATCCATCCCAGTGCCAGGGTTGGGCTCAAGGTGGCTCTGACCCTGGGCTTCGTCATCTCCACACCCTGTGTCAAGGGGAGCACCTAAAAGAGCCAGAGTAGGGGCCTGGGATTTAGCTCAGTGGTTCTGCCACCTGCTTCGCCAGCAAGTGCAATGTCCTGAGTTCGATCCTTGGTACAAAAAAAAAAAAAAAAAAAGAAACGGGCAAAGACCCCCAAGGGCTGGCA